GTCTCCATGAAGATGAGGCCGTGCTCGCGCGCGAACGCCTCGCCCTCCTCGCGCTTCACGTCTCTCCGCGACTCCAGGTCGCTGGCGGAACACAGGGCAGAGGTCAGTCACGGGTCACAGTGACAGGTCACACACAGGTCAGGCCAGGGGCAGCCACGGGTCATGGGTTACGCCATGGAGAGAGATCACAGGTCACCGATGGGACACGCACAGGTGAGCATCTTCTGTAGAGCGCCGGGTCAACAGCGCTGCTTAGATCTGTACAACAAACATCACATAAAAACAACAATTGTAAACGTGCCAACAGAGGCCATTGACCTTCGATATAATGGTGGGGTACTCCGCAGGCAAGAAACAGCAACGTAAATATTCTCCAATTTCAATACAGACACTTCGCAAGCTTGCAAAATAAGATGTAGCGTACTGGAATATATATCGTCTACAGAGACCACCGTCAAAGATAAAAAGTACGAGGAACCCCCTAATTAGCTTTGGCGAAATCCCTCCACCGCCATCTCTCCGTGTCCTGTCCCTCCCCTCCCTCCAAGCCCGCCGGCCGCGGTCGGCGCACACACATGACACACCTCTTGTTGCCGATGAGCATGATGACCATGTTGGAGTTGGAGTGCTGCCGCGCGTCCTCCAGCCACGTGGTGAGGTGGTTGAACGTGTCGCGCCTAGTGATGTCGTACACGAGCAGCGCGCCGGCCGCGCCGCGGTAGTAGGAGCGCGTGATGGACCGGAACGCCTCCTGACCCGCCTGCGGGCCACGGGGGGAGGGGTCACCGGCCGGCCGACGGACGGGTGGGGGGGGGGGGGGCGATGAGATGGCGCATGTGTGTAATGTGAGCGATTGCATGGGAAGGTCATTCCAGCCAAACAGGAAAAAAGTGGATGATGATCGACTGGATGTATAGAAAAGAAGATTGTCAACTGAATATAGCAGACAGAAGTCGTGGAAGTAATTTTCTTCAAACGGAATCAGCTCAGCATGGGAATATGCGATATAAGGGCGAAAAAAAAAACAGCAGGCATATGTCAATCCGGAACTCCAACGTGTTCACGCTTGCCAAAACAGAAAAGCCACTAACTAGCTGGCTATTACAGTAGTTAGTCAATAGTTCTGCCCGTTATAACCGGACATCCCGGCCCATATGGATCAATAGGCAGCCCGTATCCGGTGCCGAGCCCTTACCGTGTCCCAGATCTGCAGTTTGACTTGTTTGCCATCGATGGTAATCATGCGGGCGCCGAACTCCACGCCTGCGACACACAGAGAGGCGGTCAGCGGTGTGGAACGGAAAGGAACGTGGATGGTTGGATGGTGAGACCAGCTTCCACGCCTTGGATTAAGTCACATGGACAGACCGTCGATATCATGGGTTGTTGAGTTTTGGGGCTGTCAATTCAGCTCATTATGATGCAGCTGGCTACAAGTGCCCTTGTAGAGATATTACATTTGCTGAGTTGTGATTCAACAAATTGAAATGAGTGACCAATGACTATTGGTCCATTGGTCAAGGTAAACATTAGCAGCAGCAGACGCTTACCAATGGTCAGGTCGTGTACAGGCTGAAATCTTTTGTCTGTGAACTGCAATAGGAGGCAGGATTTGCCCACACCTGTGAAACAGAAACAGTAGTGAATGAAAGAGCAGTCAAAATTAGCAGTCAGCTCAAATGACTGTTTCAGCAGTCATTTCAAATGACTGCTTCAGCAGTGATTTCAGCAGTCAATCAAAAATAAGTTTTATTCACTTCCTTACTAAAACTTGACATATTTTTCCCCAAGTCTTAATTGCTTTTACTAACATACTAGTACAAGATGATAACACCTTGATCTAGGGTAGTCTTCAGTATTGAAACTTGTAGCTCTTTTCCAATAGTATGTACACCTTCTTCATCTTTTACTAAATACCAAATGGGGATCATTGAAAAGTTTACACTAAGGTGACTAATTTTAACCCGCGCCCTGGTGTGGGTCTGAGCCACCTTCGCCCTGGTGGGGGGGGGCCAAATGACCCCCCCCCGTCTAACTCGAAAACGAAGAGGGCTAGGAAGACGCGGAAAAAAGCAAACGAAAGCCCATAACAAGTACGTTCGAAAGTATTTCGGTCATTTTTTCGCTAAGGTCAATATTGAGGTCGCTAGAGGTCATCATAGGTCAAATTTCAGTGTTTTCGGTGTTGCCGGACATATTCCGCTGTAGCTCGGAAACTAGAAGAGCTAGAGAGCCGCGGAAAAAAGCAATCGATAGCTCTTTTCAAGCTCTTTCGCCAAAGTTCGTCAGATTTGACCTCAGCTCAACGGTTTGGCCTACAGAGGTCATGCAAGGTCAACTTGGCAAATTTCGTTGAAAATGTTTTTAACTATAGCATGCATTCACGAGAAAATAGAGAAACGATTCATGCACCATCGTGCTTGGCTCGTCGAGACGCGTCGAATGATATATAGTTTGACCTCGAAAGGTCATTTTGAAAATTTGACCTCAGGTCAAGGTCATGACCTTACCGAAATAGGTCATGCTGCATATCATTCGATCCGCATTGACGAGACAAACACGATAAACGTCGAACGGAGTCTCTATCTCTATTCAATAACAAGTAAGTGCAGAAAAACCGCTGGTGACCTCTGGTGACCAGGGAGATGACCTAGCGTGACCTCAGCGAGGTCACAAGCAAATGGTTTCACATGGGCTGTGATTTGCTGACCCAAGACACTTCAATAACGAAATATAGGAACAATCACGCCCGATTTAGCTGAAAAACAACTACTTTTCGATTCTCCCATTGACTTATAATGGGGAGCAGCGATGACCTGACCTGACCTTAGGTCACATTTATAAAAAATCCGAGATAGCCATTTTGTAGAGCTGGGTGACATCTTCAAGTACTGTAAATTTTACATCAATCGGATAAAAGCTGTGCCTTTGAGAGAGCTTTGAACTTTTTTAGAGGTGGTGTCAGTTTTGGTGACCTTGTGACCTGACCTGACCTGACCCGAACCCCCCAAAAAAGGACATGATGTAAAAATGTTGAATAAACAGCTATACAAAGTTTCAGGGCGCTAACTCAAGTGGTTTCTGAGTTATCGCTGAAAAACCACAGGGGGGGGGCCAAAATGGCCCCCCCCCCCCACCAGGGCGAAGGTTAATTGGTAATTGACATTAATTACTTAGGAAATTATTTTGTAATGATTTGCAGAAATTTGCAACACAGGTCGCTGCATGGGGGGGGGGGGGGTACAAATGCAATCCATTGTGATGTAAAACAAACAAATTATGGAAAAATACATCAATAGTTTTTTGTGAGATTTAAGAGCCCTCAACGCAAAGAGGGTATAGATAGCTTCTATTGTAGGTATAGGCATTGTACATTCATTAGGGACCTACAGACATAAATATTCAATAGCACCATGTGATTTTTTTTTTAAATAGCACCTGTTGGTTGCAAATTATGTACAAATTGTTAAATTATTAGACATATATGTAACTATGGTCAGAGTACTGGAGGCAGTAAATACCAGCCAAAACAAACAAAAACACCCTACCAGTGTAGGACACCTAGGTACCTACAACCTTGAACCGCTGAGCTAATGACGCAACCAGAACACATTGTTTTAGGGATAAATTACACCTTGATGCTTATAGCAGCCAAATCATTGAGAAAATGGGTGCAATATGAACAAGAGCCACTTGTAAATGGGGACACCACCCTTCCGAGACTACGTTATAACTCAATGCTGAATCCATGCAAAAGAAAATGACCAATTCTCATCCATTGTGTTAACTAGGAATATTGCATTTTAAGTAAGTTGGATTCAGTAGACAGCCCCTCATGATGAAAACAGAGCACCATATGCAACAAATGGCCATTGGCATCCACGGACCAGTAGACATAAGCGGCGCATTCACGAACAAAACGATTAACTCTTACCTGTGTCGCCTATGATAATATACTTGAAAAGATATGCATAAGACATTCTTGGTTCTTTGTTTCACACCTTCCCTGAATTCAAACCTCAATAACTGCGAGGATTCTCACAAAGAAAACAAATAGGGAATGGCGCAGCAGCAGAGACTACGCAGCAAACGTCTCCGTGATACATCAACACAAAGCCTGAAACAGCTGATTGGCCCTGATGGAGGCTTCGAGATGAGGCTGCTATTTCAAAATTCGCCGATTCATTCCAAGTGTCACCTTGTTTTTCCCCGATCATTGTGAAAAATATGTCGTTTTAGTGACTAAGTAGACTAAGAGGATACAGAAAAAGACTTAAGCGTAATTTCTTGCCGATGTCTTTTGATTGCTTTTCGAAAAGACGGCAAGCAGGTACCTACAACTTGGCAACTGAAACGCGGAACCTACATAGAGTAGCATTTTCGAGGTTGATCAGGTAGATCACTGCCGTTGCCGAGCATCCGACAGGACAACATACAGCCAGCACATGAATGGATTATTTGTCATGACTTACACTGCTGTGGTGGTGAGGATGACAGATTGTATCATATGATATGGGGGTCAGTTCACCTCGCTATGGGTGCATCAAATAACGGCCCGATGCTAGTCTGGGAATCCGAAGTTGTTTTAAGAAAATATCATCAAAGACACTGTCGATATGGCGGGTTATATTTACACAAACACACTTTGCATAGAGCATTACGGCGCACATAAATATATGATCTGCAATATACACAAACAATGAAGGACCCATCTTCCCCGACGGCCGGTACACACTTGGCAGCACGAGACATGGCAGAGAGCGACTCGGACCGGTCCGCTGCGAAAAACGACCGGCGCCCGCCGCACAGCAGCACAATTTCTCAGAGTGCCACACTCCGCCTACAGCGACCCACAAGGCGTTCATAAATCGAAAGCTCCAGAACCTTCCACTGTTCAGTTTCTTTCACCGCATTACAACCAATCCAAGAATTAAGAAACATTCCATCACAGATGATTTTCCCGTTCGAAATCCTGCAGTTTTTCACGTGCGAAGTCCGACCAGGCGCTGCGGGCTGGTGCGGCGGCTGAGTTTCGGCTGTCGTTAGTCGCTGGCCGGCTAGCAGTCCTCGAGTCGCGGCAGTTCGGGCTCGCGCAGCAGGTCGGCGCAGTGCGGCGAGGAGCGGCGCACGAACAGCGTCACGCCCGAGCGGTACCAGGCCGGGATGGTGACGTGCGCGGCCAGCGCGCGCCGCACGCCCGGCGGCGGCGGGTCGGACGCCTCGCGGAGCACGTTCACCACCTGGCCTGCCGGACACCGGAGCGGGCACACGGACGGTCAGACGAGGTGGCCGCGAGGGGCGGGGAGATGGACACGTCAGCAACATACTATGACCAAGATGCTTGGGTTTTTAGGTCTCCCGAAGTGCCCAAGGTCATCGACACCCAGGACCAGCAAGAATATATCGGGATAAGAGAGAAGGTTGAACAGAGGATGACGCAACTGGCTGGGGAAACACTACAAGAACCCGAAGCCCGCTACTCCCACGCTCCGTACCTAGCACGTTCATGTTGCTCCAGCGCGGGTCCTCGGCCGTCATGAGCGGCTGTAGCGAGCAGCCGTGCCGCCATCGAGCGGTGACGTCCTCACTGCGGACCAGCAGCACCGAGTCGCTCGAGAGCTGCTCACCGAGCAGGGAGGCCGACACGCACTCCAGCGGGTTGGTCAGGTACACTCCCTGGAGAGAGGCAGGGGGGTCAGAGGTCAGGTACACACCCTGGAAAGGGGGGGGGGGGGTCAGAGGTCAGGTACACACCCTGGTGGAGAGGCGGGGGTCAGGTACACACAGATTCAGATGCTCACCCACACAGTTGCCCAGGGAGAGAAAAGACGTGTGTACACCGAGAACGACAGAAGGATCTTACACGGGTTATACATAAATCCTAAAAACATAGATCAAAAGGATGTAAAAGTGAACGGTTGCAGATATCCAATGTGATGCGTGGTTAGGAAGACGTCAAAACTAAAAAAGCAATGTGATTAAGAATACAGTAAAGATCAAATAGATTAGGAGCCTGAGTAAATAGTTGAACGCTATTTCTACGCGCGCTCGAGACATCTCAAGCCACACCCAGGCCGACTGGTGTCACGGGCAGCCGACCCTGCCCCGTTCCGGCACGATACCGCCTGTTCTCCTAGTCAGAGCCATAAACCTCCCAGCCGCCCCCCCCCCCCCCGTCACGGTGAGGGGAGGGAGGGGCGCCCGTGCCGCACACCAATCGGCAGTACGGAGCACCGCGGCCCGCGCCCTCCGACTGGCGTCGATAGGGGATACGCACAGGTGCGCGGCAATCTACCGCACACGCCGTGAGGGCGATAAGTGGGCGGGAAAAGCACATATCGAGCTACCTACCCCAGACAGAATTGTGAATGGTACAGAGAACGCTCAGATCACGCTCAGAATGGATGAACATGGGGGAAGGACCATTTTTTATTTCTATAGATAGAAAGAATCATGTTGTGTATGCCAACACAAAGGTACAATTAATTTACGGACACGATAATTTCCTCACTGTCCCTCACGTCCAAGCAGAGGTCAACATTCCACAATTACTACAGTACGTAGATGATATTGAACCTGGGTTCTACCTGGGACGTTCGTGTTTCACCGATCTTGGCGAGATCGGTGAAGACTCCCCCTATCCAACTGGCTTGAGGATCAACTTCTCTGTTTGTTCATTAGGGTTTACGGGCGCGGAGGATCAACTTCTCGTCGTTCCAAACAACCTGAGGCCGACACCCGGCGTCCCCCAGCGTTAGCGACTGACCTAGGGTTGCATCTCTACTGACTTGTACTGACATGGAGTCCGACTGCCCGACTGACCCAGGATCATCTCCCCAGCGCCCCCCAACTGACCTGCGGCCCGACTCCGAAGGCCATCTGGTGATGCCAGGCGTCTGGCACGGTCTGTTGCGGCGGCACGCCCCGCTGGAGGTTCAGCGTGGCCACCGGCACGGCGCCCCGGCGCAGCCAGCCGGCCAGCCAGCGCACCAGCTGGAAACTGCGCCGCGGGTACATGCAGAAAAACCGGCCGCACACCTGGAGACAGGGCGGGGGGAAGGGGGAGGGGGTCAGGGAAGTGTAGAGAATAAAGTGATGATAATGATGACGCTTATTGATTAAAATAGTGTCTGAAAACTTGGTGAAAAAAAAAACTATTTGACGTTCAATGCTAACGCCACGGCTATTTCACACTGAAGCTACGCCAGCCCAAGGGAAAAGCGGACATAAATAGGCGTATAATTAACTCAATCGCTCTTCTTAGCTTGTCGCTGCTCATATCATATTAGCCATGTCTCCATGTCCATGTCTGCCATCCATGTCTGCCCCGGGTCTCCCTGTGCCACTACCCGCCCCGTCCCATCCCTGCCCGGGTCTCCCTGTCGCTGTCCGGGTCCACGGCACAGACGCCAGGTGTGCCACGGGAGGGGGGAGGGGGGGGGGCAGCTGTGTCAAACAGGACCCCGACCGACCGAGGAGTGTCGTACACACACCTGCCCAGACAGGCCGACACCGGGACGGCCATGTGTGGCCTGTCAGAGCCGCGTGCGGCCGGGACGTGTACAGACTTTATCACGCAGGTCTGCAACCGCTGCTACACGGAAAGAACACCTGTGCTCCCACACGTGCACGAGATGCAAGGGAATTTGCTAATTATAGTTTCTAAGAAGCAAACCGAAACGGGAAGAAGTCTTGTCTTATCTTGGTTCGTTAGGATTAGCATATGATACCACTGTGAAATACCACACCGAACAGCTTCGGTTCCTAAACAAAAACAAAGGGCACAACGGAACTGACGGCATTATCCTGGGTTCGTACGAACCTCTGCAGTGACTCGGCTACCAAATACCTCAGTCCTACATACACTAATCCCCGGAAGCGCGATTTGCGGAGCTCCGGAGCCCGACCGATCAAAGTCCGTCCCACGTCAGGCCGAGCACGATACCGCTGATCCAACACCAAACAGACCGCCTTCCCGGTACTGGGAGCGTCTCGGCCCGATCCAGGAACGGAGCACGACACAGCGGGTGATCGAACTGCTGCGACTGTGCGACTGTTACTAGTCAGTCAGTCCCAGAGGAGGTCATCTGATCAGTCAATGCTTCGGAAACTCTGGATGACTGAGTCATTACATATATCGGGTAGCAGGTTCATACCCCCCTTACACACGTCACGGCTAACCCCCCCCCCCCCCTACCAACCCACACACACATGGCGTGTCGGAGGGATCCCAGTGCTACACAGCGGCCCGTGTACAGACGCGCGCGTCATCTAGTGAGAAGGGATGTAATTCAGGCTTCCTGAAGGTGCCGTATTCCTGGTAAGTGCGGGTCGAGGACTTCTACCGACAGCCTCTTAACATCCAAACGTCAGTTAGACGCCGCCGGATCAGGGAGCTTCAAGTTCAAGTAATCTACAGCGGTCGGCTACACCACAGGACAACACAATTTCTTGCTCTTCTGTCCTGGCTTTGTTGAGCCCTGATCCATCTCGACCTTACACTCGCTCCTGCCTTTCCCTCGCCTGTTGTTCTCTTACACCGCTAACCCTCCCTCTCCCAGCCTCTCACCTCGCCGCCACTGAGCGTCTCGACGCCCTCGATGAGCTGCGTGTGTGTACAGCCGGCCTCGGACCGGGAGAACAGGTAGTCGGCCAGCGGCGCGGACTCGCGGCGCAGCCGGGTGCTGACGGCCGCCGCTGCTGCCGCCGGGTCCGGCTGGTAGCCGAGCGCCAGCTGAAGAATGGCCACAGAGGGAGGGTTAGCGGTCGACGGGGCGGACACGGGAGGATGGACAGATTGGGGACAGCGTGGTAATCGATGGTCAAAATACGCTAATGGTTCTGAGGTGTTGTTTCTTAGGTAATTAGTGTTTGCTTACTTTATGTTTTTCGCGTCCACACCATCCTTCATAACACAATAACTTATTAGAACTTAACCACCATACTGACACTACAAAGGTGATATATGTGGCTGTAATCGAATATCAAGCTCGTCACATGAACGTAACAATAAGAACAGCGGTCATTTCCACGAAGATCCATGTGCTACCACTAAAATCGGTCGGCACCACCGGGAACGACACAGGAAGGACAGACG